GATATTAACATTTGTTTAACAAAATATATTACTCCAGCAAACTTCCAAAAGATTGGTTTACCATTACAAAAAAAGTCACGCACTTAAGGCGTTTCTCATGGTAATTCACAGCAGAATTTATGAAAAGTGTGAAGAAATGAGCGCCGAGATGCAGTTTGGATTTTTTTTTATGGGACTGGAAACAAGGGAGGGCCTTTGTTCACCAAGCTCAGCTGAAGTGAAGGTAAACAATACAATCTTCACTGAGCCATTTGATCTAATCAAAGATGTACAACAAGTATGCATTCTTTTGCCATTCTTTTAGCATCTATGTAGAAAAAATATTGTGTGGTCAGAGGAATCAGCGTCAATGAAAGTCCCACTAACAACATCAGATATGCAGATGATACAGCTGGAATGACCTTCACCCTAGAGGATCTGCAATTCCTTTTAAATGAAATAATTGACCAGCTGTACGGCTGCATATAAATATTTCAAAAACCAAATTCATGATGATTAGTAGACGAGCCCACGATATTAACCTCACTATAAGGGAATGAAATAAAGTTTCGAATCGGTATGGCAACATTCGAGAGCTTCAGAATGTCTTGCTACAACAACGTTTACCATTAGATCTTCGACTAAGGGTGATTTGCTATGTGTGGTTCTTCTATTGCATGGTGCAGAAAACGGATCAATTAAGGTGAAATCAATAAATTGCACCGAAAGGTTTGAAATGTCGACTCTTTTTAAAATCTCATATACTAAATATATTTCGAACGATGAAATGCTACAATGAGCTGGAGTTGAAAGACAACTCTTGGATATAGTAAAGTCCCGAAAGACATCTCGTCTGGTGCATATTTTGAGAGGGCCACGCTATGTTATTCCAAGGTTGATTTTGCATGGAAAGCCGAAGAGGATCAGGATGAAAACAACACATATGCCTCCAGAACATCACGGATTGGAGCGGAATACCGGACGCAGCAACCATCTCTCTCCGGACAGAGGCCTTCTATGAGCAGATGATCCCCAAAGCACAACTATGCATATGGGAGGGGAAGAAGAAGATCCCCTACGAAATTCCAAACAAGCGACAAGTATCGGGGAAGGCAGTTTAAAAGTGTTAGACGCTTCGACAGTTCCACAAAACAAATGAAAATTAATTAAGTGATCTGCTAAACTAACCAAATATATATCCCTAACCTCCGCCTTTTTTCACTGATTTATATTTATAGTGCCAAATAGCAACATACAATTCTCTTCCGGTAAAAAAAAACCGAATTTTCCCCAGCCGCTCAGTAGGATCTTAATTTCAATATAAAGACTGCTTCGATCATTATCCGTGGAAAGAAAGTCGTCCATCAATTTTTCTCATAGAGAGGATCATGGAGCCCCTGATTTCTTGCACAAACGTTTTGTCAAGGTCTAAGTGACTCTGAAGAGTAATTGATGGGCACTACAAACTTAATTTGTTTCAATTTAATAGGCTCTAAGATTATTTTGCTTTCCAATGCAATGTTTGACTTGATTTGAAATAACGTAACCATTCGAAGCGGACGATTTTAGCGTTTCTTCCTGAACACTTCCGAACTCGCTAGATAGTCAATTCTCAGCGCCACTCTGTAAGGACCTTCCTATGAGCTTCGCTACTTGGCAAGTTATAGTGCCATATTGGGCCAGCCAGTAATATCGTCTCAGACGTTCTTCAAGTTCTACATTATTCCTAAGCAATTGTTATAGATCTCCTCCAAAGGATCAGCTGTGAGATTTTTGGGGGTATCCAGCAATTTAGCACAGTTTCGATGGAAGTCAATATTATAACTTTTCATATGGGCTCAGTAATATTTGGAATGTAAGGAAGTGGCAAGCTTTCGGATTCATTTTCTTTGGTCTTTGGTTTTTATTTCTGGGTTCAGTAATTCGGGTGAAGATTGGTTTTCTGTTAAATGATCGACCCAGTTTTCCGTAGAAATGCCTGACGATGAAGAACAAATGGCAGCTTATACGAAAACCTTGGCGATGGTGGCGCACTGTTTTATATAAAAAACGGCCAGGTCCGGAACTTCTAGCAGATCTTATTTATAATTAGATATTATTAAGATTGGCCTTTTCCTGTTCCCATAGACAACTTAACCTTATTTTTTTCTTTTCTGTGGGTGGCCATTAAACTGGAAATTTTCTTCCTGCAGGCCTGTGAAGATTTCCCGATGACTGACGCAATTTCATCCCATGTGTCAATCTCCTTTTCTTTTTTAAAGTAATCTTTGTCCTTATGCTCCAACAAATTTTGGAATAATTGGTCTGCATTAAATTTAACGTCTTTTCATCTGACCACTCCATTTGTCCCATTAGACGTCCCATTAGACGTCCCATTAGGCGCACCTTTAGGGAGTCCAAAGAAACAATGAATTTTAGGGTCGTGATGGGTTACAGATTTTTTATGAATTCTACTAGAGAAGAAGCTCTGTTAGCGGATGTAACGTTACGTACCATAGATGACGTAGGATCTTTTGTAAGTTGGCGCTAGGATCCGTCTGTTCAATAATTTTTTTTTTTATTAATTTATTTTATTATCTATTTAAATGCCGGGATTAGATTTTTGAGATTTAAGAAATATGCTGCCGTTTTGCAATTCGTTTGTGAAACCTTGTTGTCGTTGGAACCTTGTGAAACAACAGATTTTTCAATCCCAGAAAATTGGTATGATAGTACATTAACCAAAGCGTTTGGTAGTTATCAAGTTTGATGGTTTCACTTCTGATAAGGTAAATTTTTCAATATGCTAAGTAAAAAATAAACATAGATTTTGAGCTTTTTCGTAATTTTTTTTTCAAAGATCCTTCCATAGGCTACTGTAATGTTTTTTTATAGAACTTCTAGACTCCTCCTGTGTCCGTTTTTGTTGAGCCGAACTAGCTAACGTTTCGCCAATCATCCTGTTGGCTTCTTCAGAGCTTGACTGAAAATGGCTCGTATTTTACGCGGTACCTGCTTATATATTGTTTGAGGGGGGCGGAGCTAAATCAGGGGCATAAACACCGTCTCGGATTCCCATATTGGTCACAGATAAAGACCTGAGTCGCGGTTAAGATTGTTAGGTTGTTAGTTCTATAGACTCTGGGAATTTTCGTTGGTAGAAGAATTGATTACATGCAAGAATTTTAGTTTTATCGAATAAAATTTTATGACCAGTTTCGTGATTGTGTTCGGCAACAGTTGATATTTTTCGTCCGGTCTCTCCAATGTATTCTTTGCCGCATATTCATGGAATGCTGTAAACTCGTGGCATCTCAAATGGAATTTTGTCTTTGACGGACCGAAGATGTTGAGAGATTCTTGGACAAGTGATAAATCAGGTTTTGACATTATACTTCTTTGGAACTTTTGATATGTGGTCAATGATGTTTTGAATTAAGGAAGGACAACAGTGGCAAGTGTGGGATTGCTATCAGCTTTATTGTTATAGTGAATTTTATGATAGAACGCTTAATATCTTTAATGCGGAAATTATTAGAGAGAAGAGCAAAGGTAAGGTGTTTTAATTCTGGGTTCAATGACTCGAGCTGAGATAGTTTTACGGCTCTGTAAACAAGAGAATTAAAGTATCGGTCAGTGTGCGTAGGTGACCCAATGTTAGATCTGATTTTCTATTGATAAGAATTTCTAAGAATGACAGGTTGTTATTAGTTTCTGTTTCAATGGTAAAACGTATGTTAGGGTGTATGGAGTTTAAATGTCTAAGAAAATCTACTAGGGATTCCTGACCATGAGGCCAAATTACAAAAGTATCATCTACGTAGCGTTTCCATAATTTTGGTTTTTGATGAAAGGTGTCGAGAGATTTCATCTCAAAGGCTTCAATAAATAAATTCGCGATGACTGATGATAGCGGAGAGAGAACCCATAGCTGTTCCCGACGTTTGTTCAAAAATTTTACTGTTATATAAAAAAAAAAAAAAAAATATGTTCCCGATAAGCATTTTTCAATTAAGGTGAGAAGGTTTGGTTCCAGATTCTCGGATTTTAATATATCTGAAATGATGGTGACAGTTTCAGGAATAAGAACTTTGGTAAAGAGGGATTCTACGTCGAAACTAACCAGAATGTCTTGTGTATCTAATTTAATGCTTTTTATTTGTTCAATGAAGTGAAAAGAATTAAGTACGAAACTATATATAAAAAAAATTTTTCATAAATCTTGTTTGGCAGGAAACTGCACTCAGATAAGAGCAAGATAGGGAACAGAAAAATCTTATTGCCAAACATAACCATGGGACCAAACATCAAATCTTATTCATCATCATCAAATAATCTCATTCGTCCGAAACAATATTTATGTCCTTCCTTCAGCTCCGTCTCCCTCTGGTAGTTAGTAAGCAGCTAGAGGATAGAATGCAGTTTCAATTAAACAGCAGGATGATTGGCGATTCATCAACAGGATGAATCCAGGGGAGATTTGTAAATAGCATCAGAGTACCATGTGAAAGTTTCTTTAAAGAGACACTGAATAACATATAATTCGAACTAAATTCAAATTGAAAAACTTAAGTGTTTCTTCTTCTTCATAGTTTAGAAACACAAAAATATATGCGTAGTACGAATGACGCACATGAGGGGTAAAAATAAATCTCCCACTTGTAGGCGTCTGTTCCTAAATTATTTATCAATGCTTCGATTCCCGTGAGTGGAGCAATAAAAAACGAATTTATCAGCAGCACGACCGAACTTCTTCCGCTTCTCCGCTTTGATTTCAACGAAACCGGGCGTCGCAAACAAAGCTACCACTGTTAATTTGACACTTGGTTTATTTAGAACCGCGAAATTTCAAATAAAAGCCGTAAAATACGAGTGCGTACCAAGGCCGTCTATAAATGAATCGAATCCAATTTCGCAACCGCAATGCCTCTTTTTCGTCCAACCTGTGACGCTATTTCCAGATTGTGTCCCCACTCTGAGGCTCTTTTGATTCTTAAGTTCAATTTTCAGTCTGTCCCCTATCAACTTAAAAGAAAATACGCGAGTAAACGCATATATTTATAGTTTTATACGTACCGCTTTAAAATAACTTCGGAAAAAAGCTTGATAACGCAAACCTTTAAAATGAAGTGGTTATGTGTTTGTTTCTATATATAAATACATGGGTATTTGAACGATACATTAACGAACTTTTCAGTTGTTTTCCAACTGCGGCTCGATACAATGTATCTGTGATTTCGAAATATTCGCTCGACGATGTTTAATTTTTTCCGAAAATCGAAAAAAGACGAAGGAGGCAGCAGAAAGGGTAAGGATAAAGAAGCTGACGCGACGCCGGTTCAAAAGAAAATCAAAGATAGGGAAAACTCGGAGCGATCGTCGCCGACGGACGTAAAAAAGAATATGTGTAAAAATAATCAACCTTCAACACCTGAACTTGCGCCCGAAAGTGACTCAGTATCACTGCCAAAAAATGTCGTGAATGCATCGAAAACTATCAGTAGTGAGGTGGAGACATTTTACGAAAAAAACGAACGCGAAAATATGTGCGACACTTACGTAAACGGCCTGAAAGTGGCGGATAACAAGTCCAGCGAACGACGCAGTTCGTCTGGTGGAGGAGTGAAGCCGTGCGGTCATGGTACCACCGCGATATTACCCAAGGTGCCGCTTTCCGGCGTTTCTCAGAAGCTGGCCACTCCGCCAGAAAGTCCGGTAATGGAAATCAAAAAAACATTCAAGTATACCGTTAACGGAATACAAGAAGAACCCAATCAGTTGGAGAAAGTGGAAGAAAGTGGGAGTCCGGAGGTGGTTCCGAATCTTGACAGGTCGCTGAGCAAAAAAATCGAAGACAAAGAGTAAGTTAAACTTGAAATTCCAAAAGTTAAAAAGACCGGAACTAACTAATTTAATTTTACAACAAACGTGTTCTTCACAGTGAAACTTAATGTGCCATTTAAGGTGCAAGCTGCAATTGTATATAATCATTAATTAAATTATATGCAATATTAACGTCACAACTTAAATGAGGCAAATATTATAACCGGGGTCAAAACAGTTTGAAATTTACCAAGGCTTTTATTTATTATTGCAATTGTTTTTTGTTAAGTTTACCATTTTAAAACACGTTTTCGTTCAGCAAAACGATTTTTTTTTAAATCGGTCGTCAGACTACAATTTCTGAGAGAAATTTAATTATTACTCATCACAGAAATGGATACAGCAAAAGAGGCATAGCCAAAATGGTAAATAAATGTCCGTCAATTGTTCAGCATATCATTGAGCGTCGACGGTCGAGAATAAGTCAAGGTTAGCTTCAAATAAAATCTTCAATCAACGTGATTTATTGTAAGAGAGATATCGAATAATCCAACAAAAAAGTGCACCGAAGATGTATGTCGAGGTGGAGAGACAGTTTAGAAAAAGGTAAGACCCCGAAACAATTCGACGAATCCTGCGAAAAAACAATTTACATGGTCGAACTGCCAGAAATAAGTCTTTCATTAGCCGAAGAAATAGACGCGCGAGATTGGCATTCGCTAGAGAAAGAATCGATAAAGATTTGAAGTTCTGGAATTCGGTAATGTTTGCCGATGAGACCAAAATAAACTTATTTGGATCCGATGGAAAAATATCAGTATGGAGAAACCTAAGGAAGAATTAAAAATAAAAAATTTAAAAGCTAAGGTAATGCACGGTGGAGGTGGAGTGACGTTATGGGGCTGTATGTCATCTACAAGAGTAGATAATATGCATTTCATTGAAGGAAATACGAACCAATATGTGTATTTGATTATATTAAGACAGCATCTGGTTACTAGGCCCAAAAATTAAATATGCGTAACAATTATCGGTTCTATCATAACAATGATAGAAAGCACGCGTCATTTCGGGTCCGGTATAACTCCCCAAATGTTATTAAGACACTAGCCCAGTCACAAGAATTAAATGTAATTGACAAAATTGTAGTTGAGATTAAAAAACAAAGTGCTCCAATATATAACAATAATGAATTAAAAGTAAAAATTACTGAAGTGTGGAACACAATTTCCCCGGAGTATACTAGAAAATTCGTTTAATCAATACTCAGAAGCCGTTATCGATAACAAGGGAGTCTCGACTAAATATTAGCAGGAGTATTTCAAATTATGCAGTTGTTTTTCACTATTGATTTAGTTGTATTTTGTTTTGCATCTTTTAAGCTGTGACGTTAATACTGTATATAATTTAATTAATTCTTTATTGTTATCTAAGTAAGGCACATTTAAGACAAACAGTAACTCACACTTTTTTAGAAGAATCTTTACTTACTTGATTTCAATAAGTTGTTTTTTTTTCAATCAATAAAGAAAAGCGACTGCATCATTTAAGCTGTGAGTCACTGTAAATTGTTCTTGAAGAACAGACTGTGCAGATGAAAGTATTTCTTCCAGCTCACAAAACAGTAGGATCAAAAAGAGGCAAACCTGGATTTAAACTGGAATTAAAATGTTAATTAAGATTATAGATAAATCACAGGGGATAGTATATTTTATTAAGAACTACCGTAAGATAAAACCATGGATTACAAATAGAACAGTTAAGTGAGTTAATTAACTAAAGACAAAGAGACTTAATAAAAACCTGCATTACTTACTGAACATAAAGCTTATCGAAATTGGCTAAACATCAAAGCTAAATAATCTTGTTAAGACAAATAGTACTTAATTGAAAATAAAAGCCCACTTAATGAAACAATCAAATGTATCACATTTGATAAAGACACGGTGTTGTCGAAACAATTGTCATATCATAGTATATAATTTCGTGAAAATATGAAATTTTAGTTCTTATTTATTTTGTTAAATGGATTTTCATCAAGTAAAATCCACCTCAGTTCAATGCTAATATCTTCAATGAACATAGGAGCAAAAATGGCTGGCAAAATAAAGTTGCGCATCTCTCCCGTAATAATCAACAAAAGAAGTCTACGATCAATGTTTTTAACGACAGTCACGGTAAATGAGATAATGGAATACATAAATATTTTAAAAAAAAAGCAAATGTCCTCCAGGAGACGATAAAATTACTAAGTAAATTTAAACATTTTTGCACTTACGTATTGTGGAGCGGTTATGTCATATAATAAGTAAGTAAGGTAACATACCTTATCAGTTTAAACGTCTATAGTATCACCTATATAAAAAGCGGGATGTCGATCGGATCTCGGTAATTGTAGACCAATTAGTTCAACGTCAAACTTAAGCAAAATATTTAAAAAATGCTATAATTGCAATATTGAAATATTCTAACAATAACTTCAACTATGAACGGAAAATATTAATAATGATATATAATAATGTAATAAGATCTTAACTTAGTCCTGGAAAAATGATAAAAACGTTTTAGATGAACCTATATTAATCCTCAAGAAGAGGACACAATTTGGATCTTTAGGTTCTTCAGGTTCTTCATGTTTCCCTCTAGTTTATTTGCTGCATTTTGTTTGTAATAACCTCTTGTAGTAGACAAACAGGCCGGCACTAATTATAATAATGTATGGGATCGGTTACGAAATACCACGACCTTATCTCAGGAACTAGAAAAGTTATATACAAAAGTTATTATTTATTATAATATATTCAAATGAAAGGTGAAGCCTGAGTCGCATTTAAGATTGTCTGGTTGCTTATACATAGAATTTTAGTTTTATTGAATAAAATTTTATGCCCGGTTTCGTGATTATATTAAGGCTCTTTCATGTTCTTTACCTAGTGGATATTTTTCGCCCGGTCTCTTCAATGTACCTGGAATTTTGTCCTTGAGGGATCGAAACTGTTGAGAGATCTGCGTACAAGTGTTAAATCTGGCCTTGACGTTATAAGTCTTAAGAAGTTTTGATATGTTGTCAGTGATATTTTGAATGTAAGGAACGACAATAGTGGCAAATGTGCGATTGCATTGGAACTCGTCTTTGGAAGGTTTTAGTAAAATGTGTTTTGTGATGGAACCTAGTAACCAAGAATTGATTTTTCCGTTTCAGAAAGTTGGTGCGATGATACATTTACCACGGTGTTTGGTAGCTAAGAAAGTTTGATCGTTTCACCAGTGTTAACGTTAGTTTTTCAAATTTTTGAATGTGAATCTGGGTAGATGATAAACGAAGATTTTCAGCTTTGTCATGAATCATGTTTCAATATGGAAGTCATTTCAAGTTGTAAAGACAGAAGAGTCTTATTAATTTGGTCTATTTCATTACGGTTATGACGAATTCTTTCTCGGAGTCAAGCAAAAATAGATTTACGAACAATTTTATAAGGAGATAAGATTGCGTCTGGTCTCTATAACAAAGAAGTCAGTGCACAGAGTAATCGTACCAGTTTCAGTCGCTGATCTTTTGATTTTCTGCTTTTGCGCTTGATGTCCTCATCAATATGATAACCAGTCAATCGAGACAGTGTTAATGTCCCTTCTTTAGCTCTACTCAAACAATATATAAAGAGCAGAATGAGAGCCAGCTAGTCTAGCTAAAAGCATCATGACCATATTTGTGAAATATCGTTACATTAAGGATTTTTAGAGCCTCTTATTTGGAGTTGTCAGTTGCTTTGAAAATAGCAAATATTGTGGGTCATGAATAAAAAAAAGATTTGCCGGAACTGTCACTATTCCTTATTCTAAAAAACATCTAATGCCACGACTACATCTAATATAGTCATACCAAAGAAGTCGGACTATGGTAGTTACGTAAGTGAGCCAGTATTTTGAAATTTTTGTAGCATAGACATTTACGTTTTCCTTTTGGATTGTTCATAAATGCAAAATATTGAAATGCGTATGTCGTTTTACCATAATGACGATCTTGTACAACTGTGCAATTCAGGGACATTATTCCTAAATTTATCAAAAATATCGTGATTCACACCAAGTGCTCAAACGAAATAGACTCGGATTTAATCTAAACCTTTAGCATAACGTTAACAAAAAAGAATGTACATAAACTGAAAATGAATAACCGATATAGTGTTACAAGGTTGACATTTTCTTATTGCGGACAATTATGTCGGTGTTCCACAGAACGCCTAGATGTAATTTATATTATACCATTCCTCATAGTTCTCGGCATCCCAGTTATTCAGTACCAGATTGTGGTAAAATATATACAGTGACGGAAAGTAATTGAAAACGATAAGCTTACGATAATTTTAATTGTTGGTACTACGAAATTTGTTGAAGATATTTCGAATATTATATCATTGTTACTATTGTTAGGATGTATTTATATTATTGACAAATTAAACACAATCACAAGTTTAAACAATAATTTTATTCGCTAATTTATTTTAAAAAATGTTGCAGAAATGGTTAATGGTTAAAAAGCCGCGTTGAATGCTATTCATCATGTTAGAGTTCGTAGAATTAGAACTGTCCCTATAAAGCGACGTCCCAGAAAAACGAGTTTGGAAACATCGTTGAATTATTTGCATTATTAAAGCAGGCCCTCGCAAACCAGCAGTTCACATTTTTAAAGAATTTTGAAAATCCAAGAGAACTTTGTGTTGGAAGTATTCGCAACAGTTTGAACTAGGTACAACTTGGCGTCCACCAAATAATTAATATGAGCCGAGTGGAGTGTAGCCACATTCCTGGAATTGTGTTGGTCCATTTTACAGAAACTGGTACCATGGATCAGTATGAATGCCTATTAGAAAACGTGCAAAAGAAAATTTATCAGTTCCTTGGAAATTGCAGCGCGCCAGCGATCACAAACATTGTGATAGGAGAGTCACTTATAGCCCAATAGAAAATCTGTGCATGATACTTAAAACTAGCTAACCAAACTAAACTATTCGAAGATATGAGAAAAGCATGGACCAGC